TCGAGTTTCAAACTCCAGTTAACCCAAGCCGTGTAAAAACGTCGGGTGCTAATATTGCCTGCAGTTTTGAGAAGGTTGATGCGCTATATTATAACAGTTGTGTTTATGGGGATAAACATATCACTGCGCCATGAAATAATTAGTGATATGTGTATCCCTTGCACGCGATTTCAGTTTAGATATTTAGACATTCGAGTAGGAAACTCCGCAAACCTCAACCTGGGTATAAACGTCGTCGCGAGTGAGCAGCCAGCAAGTTTTGGATATAACTGGCCCTTTTTTTCGATCAGGTAGATAGCCAATCTAACGGCTGTGTTTCGGGGATACACAGATCTCTGCGTCATGAAATAATTAGTGATATGTGTATCCCCTGCTCGAAGTTTTATTCAGATATACAATCGAGTCAGTTGAAACTCAACCAAACTCAAAAAATCCTAAGCTGCTCCGTTGGGCGCGAATTCATTTCTGGTTTCTCCTACTCTTTACAGCGCTCGCTGGAACCTCGCAACCGAGCCGCCATTTTGTTCGTTGAATGCCCAGGCGCGTATAAGTGTTCTGTGTATCCCCACGGGGGATACACATATCACTACTGATATGTGTGCGGGGATACACATATCACTGTGACATCAGCCCTCTTAAGGTAACGCAAACGATACAGACGGCATGCGGCCTTGAACGTGACAGCATCCACGTGATCGTCCCATCTCAAGTCATTTCGGATCGAAACCCCTAGGACTTCAGCAGAAGATACTCTCTCAAAGTGTACGCCATGTAGCCCAACCTGGACATAAGATGGTGGAATGTTCTTAAAACAAGTAACTAACTTTTTGCTCTTGGCTGGTTTTTTGTTTTTTGTTTTGTTTTTCTTCTATAGTCAAGGAGAGCAGTTCTCACAGTCAATGGAGGAGCATCGATATGAGAGCGAAAGTAAATGAAGATTCTGGAATGAAATCAAACTGGCCAGGGTCGCACCACTAACCACGAGGTTTCGTGTCACGAAGATCTTTTTAAAACTTTTTTCTCATAGTAGATCTTACGGCAACGCTTCTCTTTGCGATTGACCTTATTTCGCAGTAGCCTGAACAAAGAGCCATTGCCCGATGCCAAGGCTTTCTGACGTCGAGCAAAAGCTTTTAGCTGGCAATTTATCCAAGGGCGATCAGTTTCCTGAAACCTTACTTAACGCTCTGGCATGATATACAATATCCAGCCCGTAGTTGATAATCTCTGTTAGGATGCTCAACTTGACCTCGCACGACAAATCGGGGTAGAAAAGGTCGGACCAGG